GACGCGTTTCAGAAAGGCGGGGCATAGAGGAGAAACAATAATGTACAGTATGTGGAAAATAATGTGTTTTTTTAACCTTAAACCGCATAAACACATTTCATTACACCAAATACACAAAATAATGTTCTTTTTAGCAACATCATATGACCCTTTAAATGTTATAACTCACAAAACATCTAATAGCATCTGAGCCATTTTTACACTCCTGGAAAAAAACAAAAAACACTTAACTTACTCGCTGTCCTTTCCCACAGTGGCCTTGTTTTTGGGATGAACACAGAAAAGGTCAGTTTTGGGGTGAGTAACGAGTAAATCTTTAACTTCTCTTTTCTAGAGGTGCCTATGTGTACATGGACAGGGGCAGCTTCAATATCTACAGAGCAACAGAGATGGCAGGAACACAAGAACTAACATTACTGGAAACATCTCACCCATTAACATATGTAGTGTAAGTACACTCTTGTGAATAAGAATTATAATTTAGCTTACTTTTTGAAAATAATATGCTTAAATTTGAATTGAATATAAATTAGCTAATGTAGTTTGATACATTTATTTAAATTCAAACCTTTTTGACACAAGTAGGACTAAAGTACACCTTTATACATCATTTTATAATTTATTTTCTTTGAAATATTGTGACCCTGGACCACCACAAAACCAGTCATAAGGGTACATTTTCGAAATTGAGATTTATGCATCATCTGAAAGCTGAATAAATAAGCTTTCAATTGATATATGGTTTGTTATGATAGGACAATATTTGGCCGAAATACAACTATTTGAAAATCTGGAATCTGAGGATGCAAAAAAAATCTAAATATTGAGAAAATCACCTTTAAAGTTGTCCAAATTAAGTTCTTAGCAATGCATATTACTAATCAAAAATTAAGTTTTAATATATTTACAGTAGGACATTTACTAAATATCTTCATGGAACATGATCTTTACTTAATATCCTAATGATTTTTGGCATAAAAGAAAAATCTATCATTTTGACCCATACAATGTATTTTTGGCTATTGCTACAAATATACCCCAGCGACTTAAGACTGGTTTTGTGGTCCAGGGTCACATATGGTTAACGTGTACTGCCGAATGTACTGACAAGAGTTTGTAGTAAACTAAAATGTACTTTAATGTAATTTCTGTTTTATGTATTCAAATATATTTGTAATTACACGTTTGTAATGATGTTGCAATTCAGTGCATTTAATGTACTTAATGTAAAACTTTTAAATTTGACATGATTACAAAGTGCACTTTCTAAAAGTGTACTTAAGTGTACAAATGTCATGAAAGTGTTCTCTCTTTAAGTACACCTAAGTGGCATTTTATTCATTAATATGTAATCTGTAAGCACAGTTGTTGTTTTTTTTTAAATATACTTTTAACACGACAAGTGCACATTCATTATAATTAAGCACACTTTTTTCACAAACGGACTGCTTCAGCTGAGACGAATAGATTTATTTAGCTAAAGCGTTTATTATTTTCCTTTACAGTAATCAACCGGAAGTTTTTTTTTAATTTTGGAGAACACGTTTATCCAGTGGGCGACATGGCGATAGCAGCGCTGGAGTTGATGAGTTTCTTTTTTGGCCTCTTTGGCATGCTTGGGACCTTTGTAGCCACTCTTCTGCCATATTGGGAAACGTCCGCACACGTTGGTCCCAACATCGTGACGGCGGTAGTCAGCATGAAAGGTCTGTGGATGGAGTGTGTCTACCAGAGCACCGGAGCCTTCCAGTGTGAGACCTACAACACGCTTCTGGGGCTCACCACTGATCTACAAGCAGCCAGAGCCATGATGGTCATCTCCTCCATCTTTTCCGTCATGGCCTGCGCGGTATCCACTGTCGGCATGCAGTGCACCGTCTGCATGGATGGCTCTTCAGTCAAGAGCAAGGTGGCTGGGGTAGGTGGTTCCCTTTTCCTCCTGGCAGGGCTCTTGTCGTTTATCCCTGTGTCTTGGAAGACCCATGAGGTGGTACAGACCTTCTACATGCAGAACATGCCAGCCAGTCTAAAGTTTGAGATAGGTGACTGCCTATATGTGGGCTTGGCTTCTTCGCTCTTGTCCATGCTCGGTGGAGGGCTGTTGAGTGCATCCTGTTGTGACGATTTGGACGGTAGCAGGGGAACCAGACGCCATTACCCCTACCCTGACCGCACCGGACCGCGTGGACCGTCCCATTTGATGCCCTACCATCCAGCCACAAACCCCAACCTTGCCAACAAGAACCAGACCCTTAGCCTTACAAGCACTAGTACCCACTCCACTATGCCAGCTCAGGATTCCAGGAAATCGGCTCGGCAGAACACAGCAGCCGGGTATGACGTCACAGGCTACGTTTGAGGATTTGTGTTAGTTGTTCTGTACCATTTTTTCTAAAAGCCCTTGGACTGTTGAAAGACTCTTATAATAGGCGAGATGTTGGATTAAGGTGCAAGAGGAATGGACACACTGCCAGAGAAAGAGCAAATGTGTTTGATTGAATAGAATATGAGGTGCTTTTGGTTTCTTTTGTCAACAGACATTGCTGTTCTTTTTAAAAAAAATTTTTTTTTGAAAGTTCAAAAATTCAAACTAAACAGCAAAATGGCTTACAATATGGATCGACAGAATCATATGTAAATATGCAAAGCTAATATTTGACATTGACTTTTTAGCTGCCCTCTCATAATGCACCGTGTCAGTTAACCTTGTTAAGTGCACTTAAAAATGTGAACTGTTTTTGTATTCACACAGTATTTAGCAATGTTGTTTTTTATGACTGTTTTATTAACATTGTTTTCATTTGTTAATTACAGTAATCTTTATTTTGTTATTGAATTTATATGCACTCAGTTTGAGCACTAAATGATCATATTCACTTTCTAAATAAAGATTTGGGTTGTTTATTAGTCTTTGGCCCCAAACTCTTTTCATAAAGCTCTTCTATTTTTGTTCGACTCTGCAGACACAGTAAACATCTCAGAAAGGCTAGCAGCTGAAAACACTATCTTCCTCTCTCCACATCATAAATATGTGATGATCTGGGTAATTAATTAATAAAAATAAATACATTTTAAAATAGTAAATAAGTAATACAATACCTAAAGCTAAGAGGGGGACAATACAATAGTGAGAAAATATGTAACAGAAAAATATTTTTCAACTAATATTTTACACATTTATATCACACATTTTTCAGTGTAAATAGGGAGGGCTTTTACAAAAGAAATAAGTTTAGCTCACAAGAATGATCACATTTCCGTGGCATTTAAAATATACAAAGTAATGCTTAATAATTTTAAATCAGCATTAAGACTTTTAGTTCAAATTAAAAGTGTGTGAAGGAAAACATACATAAATTTTTTTTTTTTTTTTCAGGTGTTCATTTTAAATGGTCCAGCATTATGTTATATTCATTTTTTAAATGACAAATGTCAATTGTACACTAAGAAAAGTAAAAAAAAATAAAAAATAAAAGTTGTAAAAAATGAAAAAATATTGAAGTGTTTACAAGAAAATACTATTTGTCTTTCTACTTAAAAAAAAATCACGTTTAATATAGTGTTACTGACATTTTTTGTAATTGTGAATTTTACTACCAATTTTGGAATGAAAATAATTACATAAAATTATTTTCAAAGTAATAGCTAGTACTAAGATCTTAAATATTATCCTGCATTTATAATGAATGTTTGTCACATAGCATGAAAGTTCATTCTTTTTTTCGGCTCATGTGCATTATGATACAAAATAGGAGCACTGTAAAAAAAATTCCGTAAAATTTACGGTAAAAAAACGGCAGCTGTGGTTGCCGGAATTTTACCGTAAAAAATACGGTAGCAACGTTTTAGGTTTTACAGTTTTAACTTAAATTTACAGTTAAATACCGTATTTTCATTAACTCTTGTAGCCATTTAACAAGTCTAGAGCTGCCTGGGCACTTTTGATGTCTGTGAAACACAAAAAGGAAGTTAATCCAGATGTTATATAACAGCGGCATTCAAGTTCCAAGAGGTTCACTTTCTATATTTCCCTCCCAATTGTGGTCCTGACAATACTTTTTTGAGAATAGTTCGAAATGACTTTCTAGGCCGCAGTAGTACTTTGCAAAAGAAAAAGTCATATATGTATGACTATGTATAACTGTTTGCTGCATTCTCGTTTTTAGCAAAAATCTATTTTGCTGTTCATTGTGTTTCTGCAACTGTTAAAATAACCATGTCATATGTAGCTCTAGTCCAACTTTATGGAGCAGAAAGGGCTTGAATAAAGCATGTTTGACTCTAAATAAAAAACCTTAGAGGATATAGGACTGAAAGATCATGACAACCAAATTGACTAATTGCTTGTGGTGTATAGAGATCTGTTGTTTTGATGTGCTATTCACTTTAAACTGTAGAAATAAGAAAAATATCCATATTCAAAACGTAATAATCACTTTACTCTAGCTTGTGCCAACAGTTGTACACGGAAGCAGCTCAGGGCGGATGACGTATGACAAAGAAGAAAGTCATATACACCTAGGATGGCTCTGCGGTGAGTAAAACACAGCCTAATTTTAATTTTTGGGTGAACTAACCCTTTAAGCCCTATATGCTGGCTTGTTATGGGGGATAATAATGCACAACTATTGTTAAGTCTTTCTCTTACCAGAGAGTGTAATGAAAGCTTGGCCCTTGAGTCGGCCAGTCAGCAAACGGTACAGAATGGGCTGTGTGTCGTCTTTCCGAAACCTTGAAAAGAGAGAAACCAGCTGAGCCAGTGATGCCCGTGGACTCATGTTCTTTATACACACAAGAGGGAGAGAGAAATGTATTCTGATGTCTAGAAATTTCTAAATTGGGGTCAATTAGATATTTTTTTTTTAAGAAATTAATAATTTTATTTTACAAGAATGCGTTCAATTGATCAAAAGTGACAGTAAAGACTTGTACAAACAAGTTTATGTCTTGTTACAAGTGTCTTGTTACAAACACTGTTACAAAAGATTTCCATTTCAAACAAATGCTGTTCATAAAAGAATTTTGAAGACACGAAAATATTAGGCAGCACAACTGTTTCAATACTGGTAATAAGAAATGTTTCTTGAGCACCAAATCAGCATATTAGACTGATCATGTGACACTGAAGACTGGAGTAATGATGCTGACAATTCAGCTTTGCCATCACAGGATTGTAATATTTCACAATATTACCATTTACCTGTATTTTTGATAAAAAATAGCTTTGATGGCAATAAGAAATGTATTTAAAAAATCTTATCGACTCCACAAACATTTCAAGAGTACTATATATAATATGACATAACATGATATGATACAAACCTTACACGACATTCACACAACCTCCTGACTGCTTCATTCAGCAAACACACAGAGAGACGATTAACCGCCGCCAGGGTGTGATTTCCTACTAAAGTCACATTAAAGTCATCACAGTAACAGATGCTGTTTCTCTGCTCTGATCCAGACACAATTAAACGCTCAAAGCAAACAAACTGGATAAAGCCCAATCCATTAATCCTGAAGCGCGTTTCCACTGACACAGAGCGAGCGTTTTCAATTCATTCCTATTAGGCTTGCAAAAAGGTGGAACATTTCCAGTAAATTTAGGAAACATTCCAGGATTTTTTGGAATCTTTCAGGGATTTTTTGGCAAGTTTCCGGACATTTTCCACCCCTTTCCAACCCTAATTCCTATGGAAGCTGAGCTTAAACGCTCGCGCGGTGCACTATTGAAAGCGTCGAGGCTGAGCATTCCTCGACTTTATGCAAATATTGAGCGAAAAACGCCGGTTGAGAACCAATCGCTGTCAAAAGTAGGCAAGGCAAGATTTTGCCGTATGTTTGCTGAACTGGTGGATTACTGAGATCACTTGTCGTTGAAAAAGTCATAGCAAAAGAAAATGCACTTTGCATGCTTTCATTATATGTGACCCTAGACTACAAAACCAGTCATAAGGGTCGATTCTTTTCTGGAATATGAATACATAATCTTTCCATTGATGTATGGTTTGTTAGGATAGGACAATATTTGGCTGAGATACAACTAACGTTATTTGACAATCTGGAATCTGAGGGTGCAAAAAAATCGCCTTTGTACAAATGAAGTTCTTGGCAATGCATATTACTAATCAAAAATTAAGTTTTGATATATTTACGGTAGGAAATTTACAAAATATCTTCATGGAACAGGATCTTTACTTAATATCCTAATGATTTTTGGCATAAAAGAAAAATGGATCATTTTGACGCATATAATGTATTGTTGGCTATTGCTACAAATATACCTGTGCTACTTATGACTGCTTTTGTGCTCCAGGGTCACATATTATATTATACAGGTATCATACTAATGCGTTATTTCTTTCATAGACATTTTGTAACATTTCTAAAGCAGTTATGTTGCTGTTATCCACACTTACATTAGATGGCACTCCTCTCTGGTAGTTCTTAAATCGTGGAATATTCTGTAGTTTCCTCTATCCTTCCACTTACAGTAACAGGCCCACCATAGCCTTGGGCAGAAGCAGCACTTAGTGTGCCAATGGACTGGCTTAATAATGTCCCTTTTATAGGTATAACGCTTTTTTCTTGAGACTGAGGTTGGTTGACAGTGTCAGACACAGGGCTTGGTTCTGTGCATATGTGTTGGTCTTTGTTTGGGCTGGAATTATGGACTGTGTGAGTTTGTGATTGGTCTGATTTAGGGCTTGGTGACTTACACTGGATATCAGCGACAATTTTTGGTAAACGGAGGTAAACGCTCTGAAATATCAGCAACATTTTTTTGTGGTCTTCAAGAAAGACTATAGAAATGGTCCATTGCGCTGGTGGATGTCGCCCCCTGCTGGCTGACTGGTGACTCTTCCTCTGTTGATAGAAAAGAGCAAGGTTTCAAACAGGACCGAAAACTGCCTAAAGGTAAAACTACTTAGTATTACTGTATTCTCTTAACCTCTATGGTAAAGGGCAGTGAGGAAGCTGCAGTGGTCACTGCCTTGAAAAAGAGCCTTTTTGATTTCCATCTCCCTACGGGAAAGTGGCCGACTGTTTGAGAAACGCTGTGGTCTGGACAGCAGCTCTGCATGTGCTGCCATTTTATCCCGGATTGCCTGCAGACGCCCATTCCTCACCTCAGGTGCCACACAAACCCCTCTGCCCTGAGAAAATTATGAACTGCATTGAGTGACTTAGAGCTGACGTTCTCCCCCTTTAGATTTCTCACATTCCTTACGATTCAGAATCTCACCATTTAGAACATGTCATGCTGAACTTAAGATCAAAATTAAGATAATTAAGATCAGACCTTCCAAGAGCTTTCTGTTTGATCCCTGCATCTCCATAGCTCTATCTCAGCATCTGTAAGACCCAGCTCTCTCAAAGCGGCCAGTTTCTGATCCCCGTCCTGCAA